ACACACACACACACACACACACACACACACACACACACACGCATGAACATACACATACCACATAACATCTGCATACACCATGAATGTAATACATACAAATACAAATAGCATGATAATCTAAATAGTGGATTTTTATCAATTTCATATGAGCGTTAAGAAAAATTTATTGATTTTTAAAGAAAACACACCTGTTACCATTTTAAAGACTTGAAATTTTTTGTGTGGGAATACCCTATTACTGTCTACAGTAGTCCTGCCTGATAGCACTATCTACCGACATAGAGATGTTCTATAGTCTTTTTGTCAAATACCATACCCACTGGTCACCAATTGTTACTATTCGGCTACTAAAACTATGTTTTATTTTTATATGATTAAATAGGCACACAGCTCTAACACTTTTGTATTGGACAGTGACTCATGTAAAATACACTTGACGAAGCTGTATAACCACATACAGATTGAAATTCTTTAAATTCAAGAAAATGTAAGGTCATGTCAGATTTCCTCCCCTAGATAAATTGGTATCAGATTTCCTTCCCTAAAGAGAATGATGAAGGCTGGGGATGCAGCTTAGTGGTAAGGCACATGCCTAGCATGTGATAGGCTAGGGTTTGATTCCCAGCACCACACACATGCACACTCAATGTGTAGGCATACACACACACACACACACACACACACACACACACACACACGTGTGCTCGCACGCGCGCACACACACACACATGAACACACATACATGCACACACACACATGGACACACGTGTGCATACACACACACACACACACACGCATGAACACACATACATGCACACACACACACACAACACACACACAGAAAGAAACAAGTAACAGCACCATCTCCTTTTGAAAAGTCCCATTTCAACTTGTACACAAATAAAACCAAGAGGTAACAGATATAATGATTATGATTAAACTGGACATTTAAAGACCATTCAGACCCTGTGCCAGATGGAGCATGACCTCAGATTTACTGAGTTGTCGGCTAGAAGCTGAGGCAGCCTTCTAGCCTTCCATTACCAGAGAGGCAAACAAACACTTGGGGTTTCCACGTACCGTTTCTATTCATGCTGTTCATCCATTTATCAAGCTCTTCCATCTCTATTTCCATAACAGAGGGTGTGTCCTCTTCAAAAATAGGGCTAGACAGAGAGTAGAAACACACGTTTTAAATAAGAACAAACCCTGTAGGCTGAACGTTGCTCAGTTAGAAACAACCCGATTCAGTGTCTGATGCCCCAGTCCAGCCCAGGTTTGCCCTGATCAAAGGAGATCAAACTCTAACAGGAAGAAAGGCAAAATCTGCAAGAAACCCTCATCTGTCACTAAGGCCAAACTAGATGGCATAGAGGCTGGGAGTTGACTAAAAGAGAAGCTGCTCCCTGGAGACCAAAGACACGGTTGCCAGGGTGCTCAGTGGCTGCCTCATTTAGCTTCCTGGCCTTGCCTAGCATCACTTCTCTTTTCTTGGAATTTTGATCAATGACCCAGATCAAGAGGCCAGTCACCAGGCTACTTTTATCTGGTCTCTTAGTTAGAAAATGCCCAGGCTTTTCTAACTAGGAGGAATGGAACTGCAGCTCTAGGAAATGCCCTGGCCCCATCTCCCAGGCTTTGAGGGCATGGATAGGGGCAAAAGCTCTGGTCAGAATTGATGGAGCCTGGGAGGAAAGACCCCATCTCTGAATGCAATGTGGGCGTTGCACTGGGAGATGAAGTAGGTAGTGTCTACTCCAGGGAAACTGATGGGAGGGGCAGGAGAGACATCACTCTGTGTCTTTGGATTTCACCCAGGGCCAGAATATTTAACTACTATGCATTTGGCACCAGTAGCAGCCAGACAAAAATTCTTTTCTGGCAGGTGACAACAGCAGAGACCACTAGGCAAGGTTTGGAGACTAAGACACATCTCCCTTGTGACAACAGGGGCAGTCAGAGTCCAGGGGTATTAGCCACAAGAGACTGTCACCACCCAGATTGTCACAACAGAAGCTGGGAAAGGCTAATGGCTCTGTCATCTCTTCTCCCTGACTATTCTTGTCTACACAGCAGGGGGACTAAGGACTGGCAGGGAGGACTCACTCACACTTTCAGGTTTTCACCAACTGGTTCATCTGAAAGAGAATAAATACAGGAGTAACGTCAGCTCTGATCATCTGCAGCGATTTATGACAACAACCCTAAGTCTGTTGTACAATGGGAAGGAAATAGAGGCAAGTAGATTGTATTTTAAAAACTTGTTTTTCTTGTATGTGCTCTGTGCATGGGGACCCATAGCACTTAAGTGAAGATAAGGGGACAGTTTGTGGAAGTTGGTTCTCTCCTTCTACCATGTGAGTTCCAGAGATCAAATGTAAGGCCTTTACCCGCTGAGTGAGGCACCTTGAGGCAGTGAATCACATTTCTAAAGTAGTAGGGAATAGCCTCCAAGTCACACAGTGCAGACGGCTATGATGAAACCAAGTCCGAATCCCCATAGAACCATGGGACTCTGCTTTCTTTAGAGATGGGTGCTCCCTGAGAGTGCTCACCTTCCTAATTATTTTTGTATCCACGTGAAGAGGGAAAGCATGGTCAGGAAAGAAAGGAAGTGTTAACAAAGCCAAGGGATTGATTCTTGATTCCTTCCCTTCAATAAAATAATGTTCTAGCATCATTTCTTTCTGACACACCATTCTGAACACTATGCCATATGGGTGACTCCATCAATGGATGCCTTTGAAAGTCCCCTTTATCCTGCTATTTGAATGTCTGGATCACTCCACTTCTCAGTCAATCATCCCCACCTCTGTTTCAGGAAGGTCCATCTGTCCCATTGGTCCCTGGCTCTGCATCTCGCTTGCTTCCTTCACAGTACTGGCCAGTTTCTCACCTGTTAGACCATCTGTTTGAGTCTGTTTCATCTGTCTCTCCCACCAGAGCATAGCTCCCAAAGGGCCAGGATAGCATCTGCTTGTTCACTGTGACATGCCCCAGTCCCCATCTTGCTAGCACAGTACCTAGAAAGTGCCTAGTAAATATTCACCAGACAGATGAGTAGGTTTGAATCTCAGTTGTCTAGCAATGGAGTTAAATTCATGTCTGATCTTTTGGACCTGTCATTATTATAATAGTGGGACTTCCAACCAGCTTGTCTTTGATGGCTGCTGATTGGGGTGAGAGTCAGGCATCATTTGACTCCAGATGAACAGGTGGCAAGAATCATAGCCTGCTGCTTGGCCCAAGCAAACTGTGTTTAGTTTGGCAGGGAGACCGACATCCCCTGAGAAAGGAATCAGTGATGGCAAGTGGGTGCACGGCAAAGGAGACAGATGCTTTGGAAAGCAAACCTTTGTTGAGGTCCCAAGATAGTCAGATGCTCCTGACCCCTGACAGTCAGAGGCCACCTGGTGTCTAGCCTGCAGAAGTACAGTCATCAGTGAGGAAACACAGCCAGCAGGCACCTGCAACTGAGCTCAGCGTGGCACAAGCTGCTATGTCCTGCTGGTTGGCAAGCTTCAGTGGCATGGCTAATCTAGGAGAGCTGGTAAGATGCAGGTTTCATGCCATCACTACACTGCTTGCCTTGAAGGCACCGTGGTGCTGTCTCCCTGCACCCCAAACACACACACACACTGAATACAATCTGAAGCCTCCTGCGATGCTTGACTTTTCAAAACTTAGGTGGGGGTAGGATAGCTTCATCTTACACTTTGTGCCTACAGTTTTGTTGTTTAAGACATTGTTTGAGACATGGTCGCACTTAGTCCAGGCTGGCCTCAAACTTGCTATATAGTTGAGGGTGGCCTTGAATTTCTGATCCTCTTGCACAGGCATTATAAGCATGCATCACCACCCCTGGTTTCTGCAGTGCTTGGGGACTGAACCCTGTAGAGAACCCCTTGCCCCATCACCCTCCACTCCTGACCAAGCCCCCTTTCCCTGCTTACTAACTTTCCCACTAATTTCTCAGAGAGCAAGGGGCTCCACAGCCTGCTGCGAGCACAGATTTCTTTCCCTAATCTGGACCCCCACAGGCTTGGAGGTGAGCAGGAGCTGACCCACATGCAGATGATGGAAAAGTTTAAAAATCCATTACCAAAGTGCTCCAGATACACCAAATGAGAGGCTCTGTAATCAGTATTAAAAGAGCAAAAAGCCTTCTGTGGCCTCATCTTCCCCGCTCCAGGGCCATTACCTCTGCCCCAGCCACCATGGCAACAGAAACACATCTGGGAGAGAGTACAAGAGCACAGCATTAAGCCAGGGAGGAGACCAATTACTTGTCCTCAGCAATCAGGTCCTGCCTGCTCCACTCCACATGGCCTACATCTCTTTATTAACAGCCACCGACTCAGTGCACCTAGCCCCATTGGGTTCCATTTTGTCCCTTTCCATCCTGCCATGTCATAGTCCCCCCCACCCCTGCCCCACCTTGCCTTTCTCCTTTACAATCACATATCTTGATGAGACCCTCTCCAGCTCCTCTTCTTTCTGTGGACGGTGGGATTGCTGGCACAGTGGCTGAGGGGAGGAACTACGGAGGGCTCTGGCCACCTGGTTTCCTGGCTGAGCAGGAGACTCACTGTGCAGAGCCAGGCATCGGGTGGCTGAGGCCTGTTCTAAGTGAAGACTTCCTGCCCATGCTTCAAAGCAGTTCTTTGAGAGACGCCCAGCACATCAAGACAACTCAGAGAAAAGGCATGCCCACCCTAGCTTACTCTAGACTGTCTAAAACAGTGAAGATCTTTTTCCCTCAGAGATGACATTTTGCAAGTAGAATTTGCCTCTGGTTTGAGGTAGAGGACGACTGTGGCCCTGGGAATGACACCACCTGTCCAGAAGTACCCACAAGGCACACAGTGATAAATAACTTATTAAGAGTAGAAAGGGTGCCACTGTATACGTTTATCAAAGTAAGTTGAGACTGTAGCTGCAATTGGCTCTATTAAGCTACATCAGGAAAACTGGGCCTGAGAAGTCACTTGACATACCAGGCTGAAAAAACAGTAGAAATCTGTCACCTGAACAACAAAGACTGGACAGCTGACACTGTGATAGCAACAAGCCTACCCAACTGTCATCTGAACACTGTGATGTGTGTGTGTGCATGCGCACACGAGAGACAGTTTTATTTTTTCTGAAAGCCCATGTATTTAACGTGGAATTTCATTTATTTAAATATACTTTGAACTTAAATTATGCTAAATGCAAATGAATAGGCTACATAAGAGGCATTTAACCTTTCAGCCTTTAATTGGAGAAAAGGGAATTTGTACTTACATAAAAATAGTGGTTAGTATAGAAAAGTATCAAATAAAGGTCTCCATCAAAAACTTCTCTGGGGCAGAGGAGACAGCTCAGTCAGGAAGGAACTTGCCTCACAAACATGAGAACTTGAGTTCAATCCTCAGGACGTGGGGACAAGTTCTGGGCATCAGGGCCCGTGCTTGCTACCCAGCCCTGGGAGGTGGAGTCAACAGGATCCCAGGGGTGTGCTGGCCAGCCAGGCTAACCCTATTAGCCAATGCAGGCCACTGTCTCAAAGGAGGTAGATGGTGTTTCTGAAGCAGACCCTCCAGCCAGCCCTCCACACACGTGCATGAAGCGGCACATCAATGAACATGCACACACACACATATCCATACGCACGTGTAAAAACTTTCTGAAATCTATTGTTTCAGAATTTGTAGTTTTCTATGTAATATTTTCTTAAAGTGAGGCATATTTAAACTAAAGACAACGAGCTGATCTGTAGTAGGGATAATGGGCAAATCTGTGCTTTGTTGTTGGGACAGAGTCTTGTTTTGTAAAGTCCAGACTACCCTGGAACTCAACATCCTCCTGCCTCAGTTCCTGAATGCTAGGATGACAGGTTTGCCTCATCACCCAGTTTTGCAATTTTCTTTACACTTCTAAGGATGTAAAATTTTCTAAAGAGGCTCTTGACCTTTATTCATCCATCCATTCATTCATTTGACAGTATATAGCAAGCAGCAAACATACAACAGACTGAGGATTATGCTGCTATGATAATAATAATGGTGATAATAATGATAATAATAATAATAATAACATTAAGAGAAGGGCTGGAAGAACGGCTCAGCAGTTAAGAGCATTTATTGCCCTTGCAGAAGATAGGGTTCAGCACCCACAAGATGGCTCACAACAGTCTTGTAACTCCAATTCCAGGGGATTTGATGGCCTCTTTTGGCTTCTGAGACACCTGTATAAACCTGATGCACATAAACTCACGCAGACACATACACATAAAAATGTCTTTAGTAAGTAGATAGTTAGCATTTACTAATCTAGGCATTCTTAAATGACATAACTTCACCTAATTCTCACAACTCTAGTGTTGAATTAACCAACTTTACAGGTGAGGAAGCCATTCAGAGAATCCACAGAGCTAAATAGCCAAGCAGTCTCTCACCTCGATGCCACAGTGTCTGTCAAACAAGAGGTGAAGACAAGTTCGTGGTTCTTCTGGACTTCAATAAGATAACAGACCAAATCAAAACAGAGCAGAAAACAAACTACAAGTGCTCTCATGAGGCCAGTAGGAAGCCTGTGAACAGGAAGTGTGGATGGAGTGCTGAAACAGCACAAGGGGGGGGGATGAATTCTGCCCAAGGAGGGATTGTTCAAACTTCATAAAACCTAAGAACTGGGCATTGACAGAAGAGGTGGCAGTTTGCCAAGGAGACACGAAGAAAGTCCAGACAAAAGGAGTGGTGTATTCACCGGGCCTCTGGCATCCCGGAAGTCAGGTCAAGCTCTGAACCTGGACAGCGGCCACCGAGTGTGGGATGCTTGGAGGATGCTGGGGCCTAGACTGTGGGTGGGATTGCTCCTCACATGCAAATACCTGTGGAACTGAAAGACTTGAACACCAGAGTTAGAAGAGCTCTAAAGTCTAAGAGCTTCAGTGAGACTGGAGTTCCTGAGCCCCACCCTGCACTCCCCTGGGTATTGAGGGTTCACAGGGAACTCCCACTTCCTCTCAGGTTAAAAAAAAAAAAAAAAAAAAAAAAAAAAAAAAAAAAAAAAAGGAGGAAAGGAGAGAGCCAGGTGCAGTGTTACATGCCTGTAGCCCAGAGCTACTTTAGAGACTGACTCAGGAGGGCTGCTTGAGTGGAGGAGTTCAAGCCCAGCCTGGGCAACAAGAAGAAGGGGGGGCAGAGGGGTGGTCCGGGCAGCAACACTGGGTCTTGCTTTGGCTATAAAGGTGCTTCCACAAGACCACGGTTGCTAGGTTACTCTGAAATCTCAAGCGGTGGGCATTGGGTTTCCTCTTCCTCCTCTGTCTATCTCACCAGTTCCTTCTGTGAGAGAAGAGGGTAGTTCTTCCTCCCCAGCTCATTTACCTCATCTCTTGGCTGTGCATAGTCATTACAGCACCTGCCCAGAGCTTAATGGCTGTCCTGGCGTGGGATAGAGAGCAAAGAAATCAAGGTGCCCTGTCAGAAGGCCTGGAGGACACAGAATGCATTTTCTATGTGAGCCTAACTATGCGTCTTACTTGAGAAGCTCCTATCCTTTAAGTGAAGTTTGAAATGACTTTTAAAGGGTTCAATTTAAAAACTGAAGCCTGGGTCAGTCAGCTGGTTTAGTAGGTGAAGATGCCGGCTGCCAAGCCTGGCAACCTGAGTTTGATCCCTAAGAGCTAAGTGGTGGAAGGCGAGAGCCAATTCCTGCAAACTGTCCTCTGACTTCCACCTGTGTACCAATGTGTGTGCAGGTTTACACACACACACACACACACACACACACACACACACACACACACGAATGTAATTTAAAACAAACAAAAACTGAAGCCTGTTATAGCTTACTAGCTTGGTACCCAGAGCACCCCTAAATTTTAGTCTAGTGTTCCCTTCATTCTTCACTATACTTCAAGAGCGCACCTGTGACTGGGCTTTTCCTATCTTGGTTTCAGTAGTCATATTTAGTCAGTTGACAATTTCCATATAGATGTGCAGCCTCAGTGGGAACAAGACGAATGTTTCTTTCTGTTCTTTTCAAGGTCAAACTGGGGTGTGGGGTGGGGAAAGTAATGCCCATTGTAGAAATGTGGGCCAAAGACCCCCTTTTCAGGGGAGAGTGATGAACTCTTCAACTATTTATCCTTAACTGCAATCTGACTCACACCTCACCTGCCTGGCCCTTTCCTCCCACAAAGTGAAATGTCAAATTGTTCTAGTGACCAAGGTTCTCCAACACCCAGTCTCAAACATGCTCCAAGAACAGCAGTAGATTGTAATTTCAATGTAGACTGAAAACTTAAAAAACAACAACAAAAAAAGGCAATACAGAATACGGCATGATCAACTTCTTGAAAACTTCAGTGAGATTTATCGCCCATCAGTTACTACTTTACCCCCCACACCAAGCAGATACTCACATGTCTGCAAGACACTTTGAGATCCTTGGCTAGAAGGCTCTGCATAAAAGAAAAACACATTTTGTTTCTGGCAGCTCGTTAAGGTGTAAAGTAATTGTATGAAGACAGTAACACACGAATTACCTACCTTGTTTAGGTCTCTTGCTTTTAAGGTAGATTGCAAGGAGAACCACGGATAAAAGAATGACCAGCGCAGCCAGTGGGACCACCACCATTAACACAAACTCCATTGGACTTTGGGGCCCAGTGGTATATGTAGAATTTGTATCTGTGGTTAATGCTTCTGTGGTCACTACAGCCAAAGCACTTGTTGTCTCTTCTTCTACCTTTTCCTCTTCCGTGGTGGTGCTGTATCCTGAGTGTTCTAACTCCTCATCATTGCCTGAACATGAACAAAATTGAGATTACCATGGAGATGAGGCTGGCATGTCATAGTTTCTGTGAGTTTAAATATACCCTAGATGCATTTGGTGGTGAACTTGATCCACTGTACTTAGCATTTCCATTCAGTGTGACATGGAGAATTGATTTGACTTAAATGAAGCTCAAGCTGGGAGTGTATTGAACATGGGGCCAAAGCTGGAGGTAAATTTCCCATAAACACAGACAGTCTAGCCTCAACCAGGCACTTGGACACACATACAGGACATTAGAGACTTTGTCACCTCATGAACTATTTGCCAAGCCATAGGGTATCAGGATATTGTCAAACAGTTTCTGAGTAAATTTAAATGTACACTTACAGGGTGTGAAGTACATGCCATAAAAAGCCACACATTTAGATGTAAATAAATGGTCCTGGAGGTACAACTTGGTATAAAAAGAGTACATGTCTTCCAAACATAAAGCCTGGATTCAATTTCTAGCACCACAGAAGGATGGATGGATGGATGGATGGACAGACAGACAGACGGACAGTAAGAGAAACAGTAGATAGATAGAGGAATACATTCTGCCTTAATTTTTAAATAAAGGGCACTTATCCATGGAAAGGTATTCTTTGATTTTGGGGATGACATAGGCTTTGGTGTTGTGTCTTACATTATACACAGCACTCAGTCTGCCCTTTAGAGTGTCTGACAGAATCCTCCTCGATTTTAAATAAAAACATGATGACTATCTCACTTGTGAAATAAGATTCTCAAGACAATCTTTTGGAAAATAAGAAAACGTACTGTTTATATTTGTTTAGGAAAATGCCCTGGTGGGGTGTATAGTTAACATCAGTTGCCCAGCTGACAGGATCTGGAACCAAACAATGGACATGTCTGTGAGTTTCTAGATGACGTTAACTGAGATGGGAAGACCCACCCTCACTGTGGATGGCACCTGTCCGTGCCCTGGGTTCCAGGTGAGTAAAAAGGTGAATTCGAGTATTCAATTCCTCTCTGTTCTGACTGTGGACCCAGTATCACCAGCTGCTTCCCTTTTCTGTCACAAGTCCTTCCCTGCCGGGATGGACTGAGTCCTTGGCCTGTGACCCAAAATAAACTGTTCTTTCCTTAAGTTGTTTTTGTCATAGCAACATGAAAAATTATTACTACAGTGGACCTTTCCCTATTTCAAAGTATAAAAAAGATTACCCTGCCTGACCTTGAGTGCCATTTAAAAACCCATCACAGAATGAGAAAGTGATGTGGGTGGAGGAATGTAGTTTTGCTTTTTTTACTCTTTGGGGGCCCACCACCCATCCCCTAAATAAATACACAGAGACTTACTCTCACTTATGAATGCTTGGCCTTAGCTTGACTTGTTTCCAGCCAGCTTTTCTTGACTTAAATTATTCCATCTACCTTTAGCCTTTGGGCTTTTACTGTTCTCTATTTCTGTATATCTTTTTGTTCCTTCTTACTTAGTGGCTGGCTGTGTGGCTGGCCCCTGGCATCCTTCTTTCCTCCTTTTCTTGCTTTTCCCTCTTTATCTTCTCCTTTTCTCCTATTTTTCTCTCAACCTGACAGCCCCACCTATCCCTCTCTTGCCTTGCTATTGGCTGTTCAGCTCTTTATTAGACAAATCAGGTGTTTTAAGCAGACAAAGTAACACAGCTCCACAGAGATAAACAAAGGCAATGTAAAGGAATGCAGCGCATCTTTGCATCACTAATCAAGTGTTCCACAGCTTAAACCTAATGTAACACATCTTAAATTAATAATTCCACAACAGAGGGACTTTGTTAGGTTTGAGGCTATCTCATACTCACCCTGGTCCAACAAAGGAAAATATTACATGCAGAAGACACATAAGTAGGTGAAAATTCCTTCTAAGGAGAAAGATGTGATGCCCAGGGAGAGGTCAGTGGCTTTAAGCTGCACTCTGGATGACCACGCTGGACAGTGCAGAGCCATTCAATAGTTTATCTTCCTTTGTAATTGTATGACAGTGAATTCCTCTAATTCACATTCCAACAACAAAAATAACTGTTTACTAACAGTTATGGACTACTTGTGGATCTCCCTCCAATGCCTATATTGATCCCTAATCTCCAATGTGATGATATCAGGAGATGGGACCCCCCCCCCAGGATGAGGTTAGTGCCCTCGGATGAAAAGAAGCAAATCAGAGGTATTCATATTCTCTCCCCTCCACCCCGTCTTCTCTGGGTACCACACTCAGCAGCATGAACATGCTCCACTACTGAGTTATTCTTCCAGGCCTGCTTTCCTTTCCTTTGCCTACCCCTACTGCAGCTGTAGGTGCCATCACCTATTTCAGGCTAATTTTTCTTATTTACTTATTTGTTTGTTTGTTTGTTTATAGAAGGTCTTGCTATATAGCCCACACTTACCTCCAACTCAGGATCCCTTGCCTCAGCTTCTAGAGTATTGGGGTTGCAGGCATGTGCCACTACCCTCCTGCTTCTTGAGGATTTATTAAGAGCCAAGTCTTGCCTGGCAGTGGTGGCACACGCCTTTAATCCCAGTGCTTAGGAAGCAGAGGCAGAGGGATCTCTGTGAGTTTGAGGCCAGCATGGTCTACAAAGTCAGTTCCAGGGCAGCCAGGCCTACACAAAGAAACCCTGTCTTGAAGAACCAGAAAAAAAAATTTTTTTAAAAAAAGCCTTTACCTGTATCATTCCATTTTATCGCCTCTATGTTTGCAGATAGATACTGGGACAGAGTTCACACAACATGCTCAAGATCATGAGGAAGGGAAGACCTGTATCTCCACAGACTCATGGTGGAACCTGAGATTTTAACCTGGTAATGCATTATCCCTCTGTGGAGAGGTATGAAGCTGACAATCATGGGGTTTGGCTATCAGGCAGGGAGCAAGAGAGTGGACCCTGGGTTCTTGTCCCTCAACCTAGAATAGGTGGTGGCTTTCTGGCACAAGGGAAGATGAGGAAATGGTTCTGAGGAAGCCAAGCATTGCTGGGTTCTCCTCGCTCCGGATGCACCAGGCAGCTCTGACTAAAAGTACAGCATCACTGAAGCTTCTCTCCACGGGGAGTCCAAGGACCAAGTTCCTGATAGAAGACTCACTGTCCTCCTCCCTACTGGACCCATGACCCCAGAAAAGAGAAAATAGGGAAGGATACAGGCCAGTAAGAGTAACTAGAGGCTTCTGACAACAGAGCAATGGAAGGAAGAAAAAGGGAAAGAAATGTCCTATGTGACCTTGGGCTATGTACTCTATTTTTCAAGACCAGGCAGGTGGCCATTGGTGACACTGTGGAGTTTAAAGGGACTGAAGGCTTTCACTACAGCACACCCCATAGACTCAAACATGTTTTCTGTCAGGCTCTCCAGTGTCTATTTAAGTAAATGAGAGCTGAGAGTTCTTTCTGCCTCTGTTCTTTCTCTGCTTTTTAAATTAATTTTGTGGAACCCAGGGACACTTGCATGCTAAGCAAGTACTATACCACTAAACTATGCCCCAGAGCATAAATGCTCTCTCTCTCTCTCTCTCTCTCTCTCTCTCTCTCTCTCTCTCTCTCTCTCTCTCTCTCTCTCTCTCTGCTTTATTCTGCAGGCCTTCATTTTCGAGACTCCTTTGACAACATCCCCTATCTCTCCCCCTATGCTAGCCAGGCTTAACCTCATGAACAGCACTTGCCCCACCCCCCAAATAAATAACAGTAAATGGGCTGAAGGAAGACTTACTGTGTGCTAGGTTCTAGAATAAACCCCACTCCCACAGACACATAGCCCACCTACCCCACCCACCCCATGTCATCTAATTTGACCTTTTAAACTTCACTGTCCATGCTTTGCTGATGAATAGGTGAGAATGGCTTTCCCTGGGGTGCAGTCCTGTCACTTGGGCTACATTCGAAAGATGCACAAGGGATTTGTTTTGTTTGCTTGCTTTTCTTTTTGGAAATGGGTGCAGCCCAGTGGTGGTGCATGCTTTCAATCCCAGCACTTGGAAGGCAGAGACAAAGCCAGCCTGGTCTACAGAGCAAGTTCCCAGAACAGCTGGGGCTACACAGAGAAACCCTGCCTCGAAAAAAAAACAATCAAAATAAATAAGAAAGTGGGTGCTAGGAACTGAACCTAGGTCCTCTGTAACAGTAGCATGTGCGCTTAGCCCCTGAGCCATCTCTCTAGGCCCCGACAGTTTCCTCCACTCTAAGAAGTTTCACTTGAAGATGATTCCATGAGTGTCTACAGACAGCCACGTTTTCCTCCCTGTTATTTGTTTGTGTCATCACCAGCTCTTATCGATGGAAACTAGTTGTTTCTTTTGCATTTCCAACCTCACTGCAATAACATCCCTGTTGATTCTTCAGATGTCACATGAGTGAGAGTTCAGTGTACCTCGAAGAGAAGAGGGCATGGGAGACAGTGTCCGGCATAGGATAAGGGGGCTCCATTGCTCGACCCTTGATGGTTGATCTCAACTCCCTGAGACAAGCCTGGCTCAGAACCTGGGTAGGGCGGGGCTAGCCATACAGCGAGTCTGAGGTCAGAAGGAAAAATGCTGAAAGCACTGGGCATTGGACCCTGGAGTTTGTGGAAAGAGGAGTCAATGCCGTGGAAAGGGGAGCTGGAAGACCAGAGCAGTTGTAGCCAGGAGCGGACCACCGGGCACTAGGAGTAAGAATTAGAGGAAACCGGAAGCAAGAATATCAAGGTGGAACTCAGAGTTAAAGTCAGAGGTGACAAAATGATGTGGGTGGAGCCAGCAGAAGGCAGCTGTGGGGCTTTACCCCAAAGGATTACAGTTTTCTTTTTTGTTTTTCTCCCACAGCCACTGAGTTAAAGCAGCTTTTAGCCCAGTGGACACGGGGGAACCCTAAGCCACTACTTGGCCTCTATGCATCCAGCCCCATGAACTCTAGTCTTTTCTAAGGAACACTTCCTGTGCTTTGTGAATGTCAGTGACATATTAGACAGTAAGTAATATGGTCCAGCACACTCCTCAGGAAGTGAGTCTAGC